TAAGTAATTATTTAATTCTATATATAATATTTATTATTATCGATAAGAGGCGTTAAATATATCTATTATATAAGATCTAATAATATTTATATATATTACTAAATTTAAAGTTAAAGAAAAGTAGCTTATATTTATTTAAGAGCTTTAGGAGTAGGATAAGTTAGAAATTATATAGAAAGAAAAAGAGATCTAAAAGATTTATAAAGAGATTATACTAATTAATAATAATAAAAAGAAGGATATTATAAATCTAATAATTATAGTTAATATATCTTACTAACTATAGTAAAAAAAGTTAAGGAGTAATTATAAAGATAATTATAGCCTCCTATGGATTTCTAGTAAGGTTCGTAAACGTCTATAAATACTTAATAATTATAAGCTTTAAAATTAAAATCGATTAATATTTAAAATAATATTCTCTTAATTACTATAAAAAATTATTTAACTAAAATAAATATAATATCTAAAAATATAGCTAAGAATAATATAATTTATAAAAATTATATAGTTAACAAAATATCTACCTAAATAGATTAAATAGGTTAACCTATTAACCCGCGGGACAGGTTAAAAAAATCTTAACCCGTCTACGGGTTAAGAGATCTGACCTACGACCCGTCTATAGGCTAACCCACAGGTCGACCCATATAGGTTGTCCGTGGGTCTGTCCAGGTCTACTTTCACCTATATCTATCTATTATAAAATATAATTCTTACCTTAAAGTATTAAATTAATAAATTAATATATTATATTCTAAATATATTATTACTATATAATATTCTTTTTATAAAGAGTTATAATTATAAATTATATTAGAATAAAAATAGTATTTAATAATAATATATTATTAAAAAAGATAAGTAAATTATCTATCCTAATTAAGAAATTTATACTAAAATAGGTCAAAAATAGATTAACCTATTAACCTGCGGGTCAACCTATAGGCGGGTTAGGATTTTATTGACCCGACCTATAGGTTGTGGGTTTGGGTCATAGGTCAAGATCTTTGACCCATAGGATGGGTCTGTCCATGTCTAGTCCGCGGGTCTGTCTAGGTCTAGGTATTCCTTGCTTCTGTCTTTTGTGTATACTTTTTTTAATATATCTTTACTCCTTTTACGTGATATCATCATTAAAAATTCATTTAATCTTTGATTTCTGTCTTGTAGAGTAGCTAGCACTGCACTAAATATTACCGATGTTCTTTAGCTACATTATATATCTAAACGCGTATTGATCAACACTAGGAAGCTTTCTTTTGACTACCATAGTACAATTTTCTATAGGACAGGTTGAATGAAATTTATTCCGAACGGCAATATTCAGTGTATAAGAAACAGGGTTTGGTATTGGCTATACCTTTTCTTGCTAGTGATTCTGTAGATTTCTTCTACCAATTCTCCTAGGTGCAGCCCGCAGACGAAACAAAAACCATGGCTGCAAATGTCCACTCCATACGAAAACACTATACCCTTAGACAAATTAGATAATCACATTATATCCTAAAGCCTCTATATAGTATCTTCGTTATTATCTCAGTTAAGGCGTGCTCAATAAGAGGCTAGGATTAACGGATTCACCGTCGGCTATAAGGGGAAACCCTGCTGCCTTCCCTGCATCCATTCTCCAGCACCCTGTTACTACCTTGTCTGGCAAACACAGTCCGAAGAGTGTGACTGCTCTGAATCAAGCGGAACGATGAACTTCTGTCAACTCCGATAGAACTGTTCTGCCATCCACAGTTTTCACAGACGCTAGAGTCACAGTCGCCTCTGTACGTTCCTGGCCAGATTGTTTGTCTTGCAAGGTGAAGTTTGTAAGATGCGCCACCGAACCTCCAGCGGCATCGACATCGGAATCGCGAGTAGAAAGTAATTCTCAGTTTGATTAAATGAACAGGTGGTACTGAGCACGCGTCACAGCGATTGCTTCTTTGTATTCGTCAACGCCGATAGGGACACCGTTGATGCTGTCACATCGTTAGACGTGGGAGATTTGAAGATCGACAGGAAAAGTTACCGGACTTTCAGATCGGAACTGAATTTTTCATGAATTGCTCTCAAGGACAAGTCATCATCTGGTTGGAAAAACACGGTATGCAATAACTCGTCCACCTAGGCACCCAGAGATGAAATCTGGTCGGCAGTCATTTTTAGGAATTCACGAGACGAGCTGTTGATAATTTAGGAATCATAAGAGTGAAAATCACTGAAAGTATTCGTCCAGCTTCTCAAGATCTTGTCATTATATGCTCAATTTTGTGTGTATGATATGGCTTAAACGCGGCAGAAATCAACACTGCGGAAGTCTAGCCGTACACGGCGATTCCCCCCATCGGCACCCCGTTGGCGGGATCAAATGCGACGGAACACTGAGGAAGACTAGCTATATACAGCGATATGATCGGTGTCCATTCGCTCTAAATGGTTGTCCTTAGGGTGATCGTTGCAAGTGTATACAAGTGGCATATTGCCATACTAGAGAGAACGCGGGTAAGTACTACACGAATCTGCCAATGGCGTAGTGCAGACTGGCAATTTGACACGCTCTTTCGGCGCAAGGACTAATTGCCAAAGCGAGCCGAAATGGAGTTATTCACGGTCATCGCTGTCAATCAAGGACCTCATACCCCTTCCTAGTCTGTGGACGAAAATCTCGTGTCCTACTTTGCGGAACAACGCCTTAGTCAAACCGTCCGCTACCATTTTCACCACCTCGATCCATTCTACCTACTCACAAAATAGTGGGCTACCTAATTCGCTACTTGTACAAAAGCACTTATTATTTTTAAATAGAAGTTTACAATGATTAAACAGGAGAAGTCTGTAGTGTTCCCGATGATACACTGATACCACTACAGACCAACTAAAGAGGAAGTAGAATTCTCCATCAAGCCAACCCAACCATTCCTGCAGCTTTCGAAACTAGGACATCTTTCCCCTTGAACATAGAGACCAACTTTCCCCATGCTTTTATGCCGAACATCTCTCCTGTTCCATTGGTAGACCCTACAGGCACCAGCATCAGGAGAGAGCCTTTGGGCTTATAGGAGGAATATTTTCCACTTTTGAGAATGTCGGCCCTTAGGTTAGTCACCACAGTCGGAATCCCGTCCCCTGCCTTGATAGCAGTGCGAAGAGGTAAATTGGTGAAATCACCAATAGCATAGATTGGTTGCCTGTCTTTTCCACGCACGCGGAAATACTCATCGATATTGACCCAGCCCTCAGGCGTGAGGAATTCTGAAGGGATAAAATGGTTGTTCGGCACAACGCCGGTGGTGGAAATATATATGTCTGCTTTGAGTAATTTTCCGCTGTCAAGCGTGACAACCCATTGTTTCTTGCCATCCTTATTTTGTTGCAGTTCTGACCTCGCAATCTTGCTGAGAGTGAGCAACTTGATGGTCGAAAGAGAACGTCGGCGAGACGATGGAGATTAGACAATAGACTAATGGCTCTGCAGTTTTGCTCATGTTGAATGTACCAATGGATGGGACTGGAGCTTGTAAGAGGGACTGAATAATAGAGAGAATGGTGAACAGGACAATGGTGAATTGAGAGTGGTGAATTGAGAGTGGCCCAAGGTACAGCAAGGAGGCTTTATCACTATAATTAAACGATTATCTCGAAAGCAAATCCATTTTCCACGTCGTGTGCAAGAACCGCATGAGGCCAATGATATTCTGCCCGATGAGATGACCATTAGGGGAGGCTGATTAACGTGAGAGCCAGTCAAATGTAAGATGACTGGCATCAAAAAAGGGTTGAGACATTCAAAAATGATTGGGTCGTTAAATGCATGAAGTCTTTGATGATCATTTACTTCCAATGGCGGTGCTCACACGTTCCTCAACTGGACGGCAGGCTGCAGGTTACACGTTATCGATTTTCTGTACAGCTAGCGGTTTTAGGGTCATACGAGAATAGAGAATGAAGTCTGTGTTGAATGCCATTTGGAAACTCTCTTCATATGTCGTCTCATCTAAAGAACCACTGGCGGACTGAAACTGCAGATTTCTCAGACAGGTTGACCAGTAGGGGAAGGTAAACCCCAGCGCATCCCTGCCCACAAGTGTGGTGTATGGCGTATTCTTTGGCCGGTCTAGACGTCTGCAAGTCGCATAGTGCTGAAGTTCTATGTAGCATCAAAAGGCCTGCGGCATTAATTGGAATGTCACAGGCATGTCAGCTCCCTGAATCATCTGAGCTTGTGTCTCTTGAATGGTCTCATTCATGGGGATATCCTATTTACTTCTGAGGTTTTTCGGTGAAAGCAGTAGACCGGCCGATTGCTAGGGTAATTCTTTTTCCCTTTTCTTTTATTTTTTTATTTTTTTGGCTATATCGTACCCGTCGGTTTCTCCTCGGTGGTTGCTTATGATATTTATTTGGGTGTATTAGAGTGGCAGGATGCTATATACTCAAAGCCACCTCCTATAATCCAGAAGAATACACTGATAGGAGAATACCGGTGGCGTTACGAAGGCATAATGTTACTCCTTGTATCATGTGGCAGCTATTGTCGCCGATTACTGACTCAGCTGTGTCAATAGGTTCTCATACGCTAGGAAGGATGTTTTGGACACTACCGAGCTGCTCTCTCATCCATTAGTTGTTATCCAGACAGAAATGGCTGTACAGCAAAGGTAATATTTTCTGTAGAGGTAAGACATGATACCAGTCTGGCTGGATGCAATACGCCTGTCTCATATAGACGGAAGACGGACGTTACTACCAAGAATGGCATGAGTTGTAACATACTCCCCTAAACTACCCTCCATATCTAATCGCTGGCTCGACCTATATGAGCAAGAAGACCATGGTACTCGCACATACTTAGCCCCTGTCTTCAAGGGGATAAGAGCCGGATGGGTCACCTGCGGATAATACATAAAGGAGCCTTTTCCCAACTTATCATGTGATATGTCCTGCAGACTTTTCTTCCTCAACATCACTATGCACCTTAAAGATGGTACTGAGAAACTTCCACACCGATGGCCTACTGGATCTATGCACTGAGGAGCAGCTGGATCTTCTCAACTCGATCGATACACTCCGCTCTTAAGGTATCAGCCACTATATCTCTTTGCCACAAATAATAGTCTGTGGTGACCAGTCCTCTGGCAAAAGTTCCGTTCTCGAAGCGATATCCAGTGTTGGGTTCCCTGTCAAAAGCAATCTATGTACCCGATTTCCTACCGAGCTTGTTCTCCGAAAGTATCCCTATATTAGCGTTCGAGTGTCCATCGTACCTCAATAAACACGCAGTGATGTTAAGCAACGTTTACTCAGCGACTTCTGCGAATAGTTAGATAGCTTCGAAGGTCTACCAATCTTAATCGAAAAAGCTAAAGGAGCTATAGGAATAACGACCTATAGAAAAGCCTTTTTAAATAACCTCCTCCGGGTCGAAGTATCAGGCCCCGATCGCCCTCATCTAACTATTATTAACCTCCCTAGACTTATTTATTCGGAAACCAAGCAACAGTCCGCGATAGACGTCCACCTTATCTAGGATATGGTCCAGTCTTATATATAGAGCCGCGCAGTATCATTCTGGCTATTATGTCTGCCAAGAATGACTTTGCCAATCAGATTGTCCTCAAGCTAGCTCGAGATACTGACCTATCCGGCAAACGGACGCTGGGTATCATAACAAAGCCTAATACCCTTATTACTAGGTCTAAGAGCGAAACAATGTTTGTATCGCTAGCAAAGAATCAGGATATAGAGTTCCGGCTTAGCTAGCACGTCCTCAAGAACATAGATATAGATAAAGGTCAATAGACTCTAGCACAACGCGATATCGAGGAACATAAGTTTTTCTCTTAGGGAATATAGGACTATTTACCACGCTCGTTAGTTAGCATCGATACCCTATAGACGCGGCTAAGTAAGGTACTGCTTTCGCAGATCGCCACGGAGCTCCTAAGCCTAATCAAAGAGATCGAAGATAAAATTAACTATTATAGGTCTCGTTTACGGAGACTTAGAGAACCTCGGGCTACCGTTGACGAACAGAAGTTATATCTTTTAAAAATAAGCTAGTCCCTCAAGGAACTAGTGAAAGCGGCGATTAACGGCATATATAATAATCTATTTTTTGGCGACGCTTACTCGACCGACGGATATCGAAAAAGAATACGAGCTATAGTTTAGAATTCTAACGAGGAATTCGCCCAGCGTATTAGCCGACGGGGCCATTTTCGGCGTATCTATAAGCCGAATAATAGACAGCTTCCGGCCAAGAACCAGCTCGGGGTTACTCGCGAGGAGTATCTAAAGCATATTAGCCAACTCCTTAAACGAACTAGGGGCCGCGAGTTACCTAGGATATTTAATCCTATAATTATCCGTGGTCTATTCTTAGAACAGTGCTCCCTATAGGGGGAGGTGACCCGTAGTTACGCGGAAAGTATATAGGCTACTACGCGAGAGTTCCTTATACTTATCGTTAAATTCGTGGCGGATAAAGCCACATTAGCCGCGCTAATCGAAGAGATCATTATCCCAGCCTACGACTCTATTAAACGGGAAGTCGACAACAAAACTAGGGAGCTATTTATACCACACTAGATAGGGCATCCGATTACCTATAATTACTACTTCACGGAAACCCTACACAAGATCCGGGCTGAACACCAGGAAGATGAACTTACCAAGACCTTGAAGCGGTTCTTCCGTGTTAATAATTTAAGGGATCCTTACTACACGGAACACTCAGTCAACCTTAATCAACTTCTCAAGTCTCTGTTACATCAATCCGAACCAGATATAGTGCGTTTTGTATCAATTGAAGCACTAGACTACATGCTTACTTACTACAAGGTGACTAGTACCTCGTTTTCTTTAGCGGACTTACCAATCTAATAGCAAACAGGTCGCCCTAAAACGGTTCGTTAATGATGTTGCCAACGAAGTTGTGGAAGGTAAACTCATGTTTTCGTTGTCCCGTATTCTGTCACCGGTGACAGTGTTCGACATGCCAGCAAACCTTATCACAAGGATTACGGGGGAGTCGAAGGAAAGTCAGACGACACGAGAGCAGCTCAATAAGGAACTCTCGATCTTGAGTAAAGGTTCCGAGACATGCAAACGGTTTGTTAGGTCAAAGACCGACGGTATGTCAGCCTTTGCTGGACCTAACTTGTTATAAGAGACTAAATTAACTTACAGAAGGTAGCTTCGATCCTCTCTTGATGGATGGTTGCCCGACAAGGGAGAGGAGTTGTGGATCTATATGTGAGGAGATGACTTCCGATACGGACGAATCTGAGCTTTCTGACACGTCGACCGAAAGAGTGGACCTTCTGGAGGCTCTGGACAAGGCTGGTGACGAAACAGCACCCACTTATCTAGATGAGGAAGACAAACCAAGCGTCAAGTCTATAAAGAAGCCAAAGAAGAGGGGACGAAAAGGCAAAGGTGCGAAAGAGTCGGCCTTGCATCTCTGAAACTTCGGTGATTTCAGCGGCACGTGGTGAATTGGGGGAGAGTGATGAATTGAGATGGATGTTGCTCGAAGAAGTCATCGACCGTGGTCTCTTTACAGGACCATGGCAGACTACAGGGCTTCAAGCCCTCCGAGGCAACGGGCATAATGTCCATTTATTAAACTAGGTTGACGGCTGTTGGTGGGTAATTTATAAGAATGCTGACACCGCAACTTTGTCCTGTTATATTGCCCTCTTCCACCTTTATGATCGATTCGATCCAACCTTGCGGCTGTAGACCATCAACAAATATCGTCCCTTTTGTCAAGCGTTGCCTTTTGCCCAGCAACTGGTTTGGACGAACCAGCGAGCCTTTAGAGAGCGAGCTCGGTCAACAACACAATAAGCTCACACAGGAAACTCGCGGGGATTGGCGTGTACGATGCGTGAATTGTGGTTTTCCAGGAAAGGCGTCGGGATGTCAAACCCATTGACATTGTGAAGATCGGCTAGTTTCTCAGCAAGGGGCTCATCCTCCTGGGGCCACCTTATAAGAACCCAGCCACGGTTTTTCCCACGCTGCCGAAGCACATAGACAGGAAGAATGGTCTTGGTTTTGTGCGCTGTGCGAAAGTCGTAATCATGGCGGTTGACGTCAATAACGATGAACGTTCGTTCACTCCACACATCAATAGCGAGGAAGAGAATCCGAGAGTCATTTTCCCACTTAGGAAAGATTTCGCTGGCAACACTGTTCGCCGAGGCACGATAGTCTTGAGGATCAAGGAGTTTAGTATTCACTTTAATGACAATTCGTTTGGAATCGTTGTCTCCGAAGATCTCTTTCCGTATATCAGAGAGGTTGGTCATGAGTGATGCGCAATCGTAGGTATATTATCGGAGCAAATAGGATGTATTGGAGGAAAAGGGCAAGCTCTGGAAAGGGATAAGAAACTGTGAATGACTGTAAGAGAGAGGCTTCCAAACCATCCTTCTTATTCCTGGTATTAAGGATAATTACGCTAACCCTAAAATGGAAAGTTATACCGGCGTCACGCTAGAGCCGTTGTTAATTATGAAGGCACGTAATGTGATGAAGCGAGGGATTATACCAGCAAGCATAACGTTTATTGTTATTCGAAGGAAAGGAGACTGGAATATGTACGTGTGTATGTTGCCATTTCGCATACACTGAATACATGACGGATACAACCCCAGGATCATCCCCATTCATTGAACTGGCCGTAGGCAGTGACAGTTGTAGGACCTAGGGCCATCTTTCCTGTCTACGTTCCTCGGCAGTGTGAGAAAGGCGTAGCTTGGCTCTCGTAAGATGGCGTAAGTAGAATGGGCCTCTTGGTTCCCTCATTTCTAAAGGTGCGTTCACTCCAAACATCAATGGCAAGGAAGAGAATCCGAGAGTCACTTTCCCACTCAGGACTCGGTGACGACGACTCTGATGAGGAATGATAGTCTTGAGCACCCAGACTTCAGTGTTCTTTATTGACGATTCGTTTGGCAGCATTATCGTTTCTGAAGATTTCTTTCGATATATCAGAGACAAATCATGAATGATAATGAATCGCACGGTTTATGATTCGGTTAACGGATGAGATATTTTGGTGGTATTAGAGTAAGTTCTGGTAGTGAACAAGGAATTGAGCATGACAGAAGCTGTCTAAATGATGATCTTACGGACTATACAGCCTCCAGAGAAGTAGTCCACACTTATACTGTAAGAATCGAGCTATTCAGAGGGTAACAGCCTTTTTATTCCACTGATTCGTTTATTAATCTATCATCTGAGCTCGATCTCCCTTGTGCGAACTGCGTAAATCCAATGAAAATGAATGGGGAAACAGTAGAAAATGAAAACGTCGACCAATATTATTTCCCTTTATTTGCATCACTCAAGGGCATCGTTGGGTTGTTGACGGTTCCGAGGGGAATAGTGCGTCACGCCCTTGATGTGGTCCTCGAGGAATGGAATCGGGTTTTGCCCGTTGCCCTCATGGAGGTCTGCAATTCTCTTGGCCAGTTGTGTGTCACCAGGCTTATGCCTAAATATTCTCCAGGCACCGCTTCTCCTGGACAACCGGAGCAGATAAACAGGCATGACAATCACTTGCGCATGAGCGGTTTGATAGTCGTACTCGTCGTTGTTGAAGTCGAGAGCGAAGTAGCAGTGCCGTGGCCAAACTTCCACGGCGAGGAGCCGTAACTCCGCCCTGTTTTCCCAGAAAGTAATCAAGTTGCTGATAATCCTTCGTGTCGAAGCCAGGTAGTCTTCGCAATCCAGCCGTTCCGTAGGCAAATCCCCAAGTATTCGGATTGAATGATGTGTTTTGATGGCATCGGAAATAACCCGATTAACCTCCTCCATGGGGCAAGCGAAAGAGATTCAGGTTTTAGGATATAGAGGGAAAAAATCCGTCCGAAGAGATGAAACCCACTGTTGATTGAATTGCAGAAATCTTGAGATCGCGACCGGATTTTGGGTCCGGCGCTACATATATAGAAGGGTATTGGTGCACAGACCATACAAGCGGTGAACCTTCGTTATGTCATCGGCTGTTCAACGATCTCCTAATTGGTCTTTATGTATAAAGAGGGCACACAGCTGAGCGAAGGTGGCTAAAATCAAATCGAAGGTGGCCTATTTCCCACCTTCGATTTGCTTTTAGACATGGACAGACCCGTCCCATGGGTCAAAGATCTTGACCTATGACCCAAACCCACGACCTATAGATCGGGTTAATAAAATCCTGACCTATCTATAGGTTAACCTGCGGGTTAACGGGTCAATCTATTTTTAACCTATTTTAGTATAAATTTCTTAATTAGGATAGATAATTTATTTATCTTTTTTAATAATATATTATTATTAAATACTGTTTTTATTCTAATATAATTTATAATTATAACTCTTTATAAAAAGAATATTATATAGTAATAATATATTTAGAATATAATATATTAATTTATTAATTTAATATTTTAAGGTAAGAATTATATTTTATAATAGATAGATATAGGCGAAAGAAGATATTAATTAACTATTTCTTATACTAAACCTAAAAATATATATTTAAAGTCTATAGTAGTATTATTATTTTTTATATAAATAAACTATATATATTAGAAATAATAAAAAAGATATAAATCTAATATCTAATATTTCTTTATTAATATATAAGTATATTATAGTCTTAATTATATAAAAGAATTATTTTAAATATTTTTCTGGATTTATATAAAATAATAATATTAGCTAGTTAGATTAAAATTTTTTAGGGATAAAAAGAAAAATCTTAGGGTATTACTCTTATCTAATTATTTAGATTAATTTATTAATCTATTTCTTACTATCTAATAAACTTTATATATATTAGTAGAGCCTATTTTAATTAGTTATAAAATTCAGTACTAGGATAGAACTAAATTCTACCTATTAGTAAAAAATAAGTATTAGATTTATATATTCCTCTAAATCTACAATAATTTACTTTAGATTACTTTTCTATATCTTAAGTCTTTTATTATAAAAAGATTACATAGTCTCTTTTTTACTAGATATAATAAAATATATATCTTTTTATAGTAATCTTTCTATCTCTATTAAAACTAGGGTTTTAATCTATCTACGTAATTACTTAAAACCCTAGTTTTAATCTATCTACGTGTTTATTTATAGCCCTAGTTCTAATATACCTATATAAAAAGGTTAGCTAGTTAAATTAAAATTTTTAGGGGATAAAAAGAAAAATCTTAAGATATTACTCTTATCTAATTATTTAGGTTAATAGATTAATCTATAGATTAATTTATTAATCTATTTTTTACTATCTAATAAGCTTTATATATATTAATAGAGTATCTTCTAATTAGTTATAAAATTTAGTACTAGAATAGTACTAAATCCTATCTATTAATAAAAAATAAGTATTAGACCTATATATTCCCCTAAATCTATGATAATTTATCTTAGATTATTTTTCTATATCTTAAGTCCTTTATTTTAATATACTATTACTATATCTTTTTTATATCTTAATTATCTATTTTATACCCTCCCTTTTTTATTAAGAGTAAAAGATTTAAATTATTTATTTTCTATTCTAATTAATTTCTTAATACTCTCTTAGAACTACTAGAAAACTAATAAATTAAGTAAAGCCTCCCTTCTATTATATTATTAATACTAAAATAATCTAATAATTAGAAAAAGACTTAGATAATTTTTAATAATATAAATAAAATAGAATTTTTAAACTAATAGCTTAATATCTAAATTAGTAGTTCTTATAATACTATAAAGAAAATAAACTAAAAAAGTCTATAATAGACTAATATATAGTTATATTTTAATTAAATTATATATTTAGTAATAAAAAAGCTAAAGCTCCTATATAAATAATATAGTAAGATTATAGATTATTTAGTCTATACTAAGAATAGGATAATAGATCTCTAATATTACTAGAATCGGAGTATATACTAGAAAAGCTAAAATACTATTAAATATTTAATAATCTAATATCTTATAGAATATATAATATATTATATAGCTATTATTTAATTTATAGACTAATCTTTCTTAGACTAAGAACTCCTTTTAAATAGCCTAATTAATTATCTAAGAATTATAGGAGTAATAATTAATTATTATAATAATTATTTTATAGCTTTTTTTTAAATTATTAAATATCCTAAATTCTAAGCCTTTTTTTAAATAACCTAATTATTATTATTTATCCCTAGTTTCTCTTTCTATTAAACTATATAATATTAAATCTAGGGAATAATCTAAGATTAATAAAAAGATTTATTTTAAAAGCTTCTATCTAAGATTAAGCTCTTTATTAATCTTAACTATTAGATATTACTATTTTAATAAATATTTATAGCTATCTTTAGCTATTTTATTAATATAGACTAAAATTATTAAAAGATTTTATTTAGCTTCGAACTTATTTCTAATATATATTTTAGATAGAATCTTAGTATAATCTTTCTTAATATCCTCTAGAAATATTAGATTAAAGACTAAATATTTATAGTAATAACTAATAATATATTAAATAACTCTATCTTTATTTTAAGTATCTAAGATTCTATTTAATTATTAGATATTAACTCTAAGATAATAATTATTTAGGTTCTATATATTATATATATAATTTAATTAAGTTTAAAATAACTATTTAGCTAGATAAAAGCGAACCCTTAAAATAAGGTAACTAAGACTATTTAGTCTAAGGAATATATCTAATATATCTATTAAAAAATATAAAAATAAGATATTATAATAATTTTTATAAAGATATATATCTATACTTTTTATATATTAATTAAAATACTAATCTATTTTATATTTTAGATTAGAAACCTTATAATCTTTATTAATATAAGCCCTTAATATCAGGAGTCCTTTCTTAGTCTCTAGCCTAATTACTCTTGATTAATTCTAATTTAAGATATCTAAACTAGATAGAATTTAACTTTTTTAATACTCTAGTATATAAAATAGTTATAATTAGTCTTTAATTAATTTTACTCTAAATATAATTATCTTTATCTTAAAATTAATATAAATAAATAACGCTAGATTAACTATCTTCTTAATATTATCTAGCTATTTTTCTAATTTACTATAGTCCTCTTAAAAATAAAGGATATTATTATTTATACTATCTTTACTATCTATAATAAACTATTTAATTATTTTAAGAGATTAATTAGATAGGTTAGTAAAAAAAAGGTTAAATAAAAATAATAGATATATTAAGCCCTTAAATTAGCTAAAGATAAACTCTATAAATATTACTCTATAATAAATAATAAAATGCTTAGTAATATCTATATAATTAGTACTATCTTAGCCCTTTAATATAAGATTAAATTTTTTTAAACTAAAGACTAGGACTACCTTTAGATAGATTATAATATCTAATACTAATAAAGTCTTAAAAATTAGCTTCTAAGCTACTAAGCTAATAATATTCTAAACTTTTAATTACTATCTAAAATAAAATAGTCCTATTAAACTAATAAGCTTAATATATTTTTAATAGCCGATTCTTCTTGTTAGGGGATTAGACCAAATTATATCAATTGATGGTGCATTCTAGATACAAGAAGGATTCGTTAAGAGATATAAGAAAAAAGGGGTTAAATAGGAGTTAGGGTTTTATTAGGGAGGCGGTTAGTTTCTACCTATAAAGCCTTAAGGTCGAGCTTCTTTATTATATAGGACTTCGTACGAAGGTCCTATAATAATAGCCCCCTCCCCTTTTTTTTCCCTCTCTTCTTTCTTTCTATCTTTATTTATTATTTATTAGTCGTCTCTTTTTTATAGCCTAATATAGATAGTAAAGTAACGTAAGATTACGCGTTTCTTTATTTAAATATATTATAATAATATTATTATCTCTAGCGTAGGGGTATATAAAGACCCTCTCTCCCTTTTTCGAATAGACTTCGACCTCTATCTCTTTTATTACTATTTTTTTTTAATTATTACTATATCCCTTATATCTTATACCCTATACGATCTATCCTATATAGATATAGGGTTTTTCTATCTTCTTTTTCCTATTTATTATATTACTAAGGATAGTAAAAAGTATACTATTATATAACTCACAGCCGTTAATAATAAGGCTCTTCGCGAACTCTACTATACCGAAGTCTAATATAAAGTTTAGTCATAGTCTAACTATAAGTTCCTTATTTATTTATATCGGGGTTACCCTATTATTTAGGTTCGTATAAATTTATTATCTTTATTTATTCCTATTAACTTATTATAGGTTATATAAGTTAAATCTGTGTATCTTTCCTATATAAATACCCTCTTAATTATCTCCCGCGGCTAAGTTAGCTATATAATTTATATTAACTTAACTACTAGCTATCCTTTTAATAAATATATATAACTCCTAGATATTTTTAGTAGCTATTATATAAACTATAAATAGCCCGATTATACTACGCGTTATTCTCTTATTACCCTAAGCGAGGCTCGTTTCGTTCCTATTTTTACTATATCTTTATCGGAGCTATCTTATATAAAGGAGTTAGAGGATTAAGGCTTATATAAATAGGTTTTTCTTTTCTTTTCTTTTAGTCTAATATTCTATCGCGTAATTAATATAATTTAGTATTTTCTCTTTTTCGTAGTGTCTTCCTTTCTAATATCTCTCTCTCTTCTCTCTTTTTTTTTTTTTATAGTCTTATTAGATATATTAGCAGTTCGTATAAAACGCTATCCAATCTAGCGAGCTATCGGGTCGTCGGAATCGTTTAGTCTTCTAGAGCTAGTTATTAAAGGCGATAGTATCCTCTAACGTATCTATAGGTTCTTTAGTTAATCTAGTATAG